AGCTGTCAGCAGGGAGAGACACGATTGATGGCGATGGAGTGATTTAGCGCTGCAGAATAATAAAGCGCAGTGCTGGTCTCAATGGGTTTGTCTGAGATCTTAAGATGTGGTTCTGGCTTCAATTACATGTTAGCAACCAGATATTCCCGGGATAAGAACAGAACACATTTGTGCCAGGAAAGATTCTCTGTCCCATCTACTGTTGTGTCTGTATTGGGAAGCTATGAGGAGGCCATAGGTCACTTCTGATCATTTGACAGTTTAAGTCAGCAGCAGCTTACAGATAATTGACCTTGAGGGAACAGAGAAGCTGTCTGGAAGAGAATTTAATGTCTTAGTAGTAGCACAGTGAAGATATAGACCAGCAAAAACAAAATACAGCTGGATTGACTCTACTACTACTCTTTTATATTGAAAATTGGCTGAATAATCAGCTCATGGATCTGAAATTTGATAAGTAGTAACCTGCAGCATTTTCCTGTCTGAGGCTGTCACATTTCACTGCTTTTCTCGTAAATCATAATTTATAACACAGTCAAACTGATCCTGATGGCCCACCGAGATAAATGTTGTGGCCTGCTGGAAATATCTTCTAATGTGTACCATGGTGTCCAACTCTCAGTTTTCTTACCCTCTCGCTGTCTCTCTTTTACACTCTCACACCTCTCTCGCTCTCTCTCACACACACACACACACACACAAAGTCATCTGTCTCCATTGGAAGTAAAACTGCACAAAGAAGCACTTGTCCTGCGATCTGCAGTACTCATTTGTCAGTTGTGCAACAGCGGACGATCCAGCACTTAATAACCTGGTGGCACAGCACTGACCTTGAAGATGACTGTTGATTTAAGTAATGGTGACATGTGGAATCCTACTTTGTACATGTTGCATTGTAGGTGAAAGATGTATTTTCTAATGTTACAGGAAATCTTGTATCTAATCCTAATCCTAATCTAATCCTGTATTTACTTGTGCTTTCCTTTTATAGCCAAAACTGAACTGGAAACACAAGAGAAGCAATTGGCAGACACTCAGAAGATGTAAGAGCTTTCTTTATCTTTAAAGATTTTCCTTCTTCACCTGGGAAATAAATGCAGTCACTTCTCTTCAACTTCATGGGTTAACATTTGGTCTTTTCTCAAGCGTCAAAACAGTGATCACAGTTTGAAATTAAAGGCGTCAAAGGGTAACGCAATCCAATACAGTTTGAAGTGATATATTCTCACTGCTGCGAAGAAATATAATCTTGCTGTTTTGTCAATATTTAGGACTCCTGGTTCTTTCTGTTACATGGAAGGTGCACGCCATCATGCCAGGCCCTCAGTAGACGGGAGGCCCCCTGTGCGGTGTCTGTGTTGTTTATCTAAGTGGAGCGAGAGTAGACAGCCTTGGCTCCAGGCTTCTGTTACTGCTGGCTAGGAATGTGTTCCTATAGCACACTCCAAACAAAGAGACCCCAACCTGTCCACTGTATTGATCCACTGCAAATGGCCACAACATTCAACACTTTAACATGTGTCATCCCATGCCATATGCACACTTTCCTTTTGCTAGATCTGTCTTTGTCTCCTTGTCGGACATGTTTTTTTCCTTCCCCTTTTTTCTTACTTGTGCTTACATACACTGAACAGTATGTGCATGTATATGTGCACACACTTACATAGAGGCTTATACACACCAGGGAGAGGAGTGACAAAGCTGAACACTGTATAAGAGTTTAATTTAGTCCTGGAAGTTAATCCATCAGAAACTCAGAGTGAATATGCTGCTTTAGTGGCTGTAATTTTATTTTATGTTCATTGTTCTTCTCTGAACTGCACAGTCATCATTGGTTTGTGCTTTTTTATGTTACTCTACTATTAAATCTCTGAAAAAGCATATTATTCCAAGCTTAACTTTCATATTTTGCATATTTGCTTAACACTGCCAGGTTTCACAACAATCAGTGTAGGTTTCTGTAATCTCATGTTGTAATAGTTTGGTCTTGAAGTAATGTTTTTGTTCTGTGTCCTCAGCTTCTTGGAGTTGAGCGTGTCCTTCTCAGTTAAACCCAAGGCAGGCGAGAAAGAGGTCTCTCCCAACACTTTCTTCTCTGTTTGGCATGAGTTTTCCACTGATTTCAAAGACCACTGGAAGAAGCAAAATAAGCTGATGTTACTGGAACGGTGAGAATATGATGAGAAGACAGTTTCCTCTTTTAAAATGTGACATTATACTCGATACAGAATACCTTCTTCCGATATGACACTTGAACCTATTGTCCAAAAATCAGATCCTGCTGAGAGACCAGGGTCTCTTAAAGGAGCAGTGTTTAGGTTTTAGTGGCATCTAGCTGTACAGTTGCAGTTTGCAACTCCCTTGCTTTACCCTCCCCTTCCAAGCACGAGGGATATGCTACAGTGGCTGCTAAACGAATGAAAAACGCAAACAGCACTATCTGAAGCTAGTGTTTGGTTTGAGTATTCTGAGCTACTGTAGTACCATAATGGTTCAATATGGTAGACTCCATGTAAGGCGACCCACTTCGTCTATAGATATAAACCCATTCTGAGGTGACAAAAACACAACGATTCTTATTTTCAGGCCATTATACACTAATGAAACCTACCTATGCATATTATATTACATTTCTGCCAATAGATCATCCTAAATGTTCCACACTGGACCTTTAATTTATTTTTTCTGTTTTTTTCTTGGTAAGGGTACAGCACTCTCTGACCTTTTAAAATGTCATTACAGATACACCAATGTTCCTACATTTAGAATTTTCCCCAAGCGTAAGTTCCCAAACCATTAATAACTTGCAGTACATCTCGTGTTCACTGAAGATCCTATCAGATTCATTCAAATTCATGAAGGGAAAAGAGGTTAAATGACCCAAATCTGTGTCCTCACCCCAGTAATGAAAAGAACACATGCATCATCCAGTTAGCTTCCAGTGGTTTGATGAATATAAAGATACTGTTGCATATGTCAACAAAAAGCAAATTGGTCCATTATGCCAAATGAAGATTGAATTGTGATATGTATTTGTAAGAGAAGCAAAATGTCACAAGCTTTGCTTATTCAGTAGGAAAGAATAAAAACAAATTTGAAAGCATTAACTCTTTGCCCTTTGCCATCGGCAATCATCCCAATTCTTTCTCTGCTGGTTTTCCTTTTAGACTCCAGTAAATATAGATATAGATATGAATCCTCACCTGCACTGTATAGACATACAAACATGCAGCACTGGCACACACAATACCTATGTAATGTTGGTGTAAATTGTTCTACTCAATGCAAAAGTGCTGATTGTTTGTCTTTTTAAAGCGCAAATGAGTTGTGACACTACTGGCTCTCTCCATGCAGTAGTAAAGTAGAGTGAGTCAAGTAGAAGGACTGGTGCTCTGACAGACTGGGATCATTGTGTCCAAATATCACATGACCATAGTCTGGATGGTCCAAGCAGGAGCTTTTGTTCTACATCGTTCTTTTTTTTTTATAGTGAAATAGTGAATTTCAGCAGTGTGAATGAGTCTCTCCATAGGATGACTGATGGTTATTACTGGTCTATTTTCAGGGTCAAAATGGCTGAAGAGAGCTTCAAACAGGCCAGGGAGAAGGCTTCCTACAACGTGAAACCCAAACATGCAACTGGAATAGTACGTCTTTACACTTCTTGTCACAGTTACTGTATGGTCTCATGTGTCCTTTTATTTGTTACAACTCATTCCGTACACACACATGTCAGGGTGTTGAAGAAACAACACTCCTGGCTCATACAGTAACAAATCGAGTGCCACTGCTGCCAGCTGTAAATAACTCAGAGCATTTTTTATTCCACAGAAAGCAAAGCTGGGTCAGAAGATCTGAAGCTGAGAATGGAAAATTATCATCACAAAGCCTATTGCACAAGCACTGTTTGTACAATCTGACAATGACTCATCAGTCATTTTTACAACATTTATTTGATTCCAGTATTTGTTTTCAATTGATTTAGACCTGTTATATATGTGACTTGGTTCAAAGTGGATATTATGTGGACATTATATTTAAATGTGGAATGAAAAATTTACATTCCCAGCCACCCTTTGATAGCACTCACATAATTAAATGAAAGATTTCTACCAAAAGATGTCCTGGAGCTGAAATGATTAAATGTAGATGAGTCATTTGCCAGAAAATGCTCACTGGAGTCTGAAATTTGTAGCAACACTATATCTAAGCTTTTTCAGTATTTTATAAGACATATGTAGCCAATTTTTTAATTTATTTTTTTGTGCAATTCCCAAGCCTAGTTTACCAGGAAGGCATATGCACTTCCTCTTTATATCTTCCTTATTGGTGAAAAGCACAGAATTTTATAACATTTCTACATGGAAGGTATGGATCACCTGCCAGACAGAAAGTGCCTTATTGCACAGTCTAGAGGTTAGTGACTGTTGTAGATCAGTTTATTTCTGAGACATATCATCTGTAAGTAAATGTTATATGTAAAGAAGAAAAATCTGTTTTACATAGGCTGAAATATGACATTTGCTTTTCTTAATAGTGTCATCTATCTTATCTCAGAACCTAGTGGTAGTTATACATATGTTTTACATACAGTATGTCTCTATTGCAGTTTAATGTTTTTTCATCCAAAAAGGCCATACATACCTGAGTGGTATGATCTGATATAGGTCTACTATGGCTTTATTCAGCTGTATTGTCCATTTGCTTTATGTTTTAAGCAAAATCCTATGCAGTTAGTTTTGCCTTTCCTACTACGTGTGAGTGTGTAAACTCCCTTAGGGTAATGGAGCAATATGATCATGTGATGTGACGTTCATGTGCAATACCAACAATACGCTTTGATTGAATACCCCTGGTTGTGAGAAAATATATTTATTAAATAAAAGAAATGAAATACATTTTTAAAGTAAAAATTCTGCTGGTGCTGATTGGTTTCTGTTTGTCATTTGTTCAACTGTGATATTAAGTTGTACAGAAATACATGAACTCCAACACCACTGTTTTTATATGAAATAGATTTAATATACTTTTCACATACATACATACACACATACATACATAAAATATATATACTGTATATATTGCATTGCACCTCCATTACACATGCTGCAGTATGTTTTTCCTACTGGCTAGTATATTTGTAGCAAATGTACAGTATACAGCCATGCTTGTGTCCAAGCAGGTGGATGCCACTGGTCATTGCTGTGTTGCTTCATGTTCCTTAAAATCTTTTCCTTTACATCAACTTGTGTATGGTTTGGGACATCAACGATTAAGGAAAAGATACAAGATAACTGACAAAACACATTTAAAACACCATCAACATCTCCTACAGGTAAAATCATTGCTGGCAAACTGTGTAATTACTGTAGAACCACCTGCACAAAAACATGTCATATTACAGAAACCTTTTAAAGTGGTCACTCTATTTCTACAGTTTAGTTTCTTAAAGACACTCAATTATCAGCAGTGTTCATAATTTTAAGTTATAAAACTCAGAGGCACTTCCTTAACTCTTTTTTCACAAAGGTGTCTTGTGGCATATGGTGGATATGAATGTTTTGAAATAACAGGGATGAAAAACTTGTTTAATGTTGAATATTGGCTGCTTAATCATCAGTGTCTCTTGCACAACAACTTGAATCAGTCTCTTTCAGCAGCATCAGCTTGCCAACATGGCTGCTAGTCTCTCATTAAATCAACGTTGAGCCTTTGTTCCGTGTTTCTTGTCATTTCATTATGGGACAAGTCATTATTTGTACAACACGATGCAGAATAGTTCAGCTTGAAGCCAGTCCTTGTTTGGCAAAGTTTCTCAATATCTGCCTTTGACAATACTCATATGATGTCACTTAAAAGACCTTTTCTTCTTCACAGTTTCCCATGGCCGCCCACATCCACAGACATGCAGCGACACTGTTTGACCCTCTGCACCTTACGGTGTCTGAAAGGTGGCTGCAGGTCTGGGCAGTCCAGCTGCACTGTGAGCTGTGTTATGCGGTGTGGCCTGCAGAAGGAGCACGACTGGAACGGCTCCTGGGCCTTGTTGTGGCTCTTCCTTCCAGAGCCTGAGGCTTGGCCTCGACTCTGGCCCTGACCCGAGCTGGGGCCCATATGGCGGGGGATGTAGAAGGAGTTACACTGGCCATAGCAAAAACGGTTTACCACAGTGCGGCTGCGGCAGCCCTCCTCGCTGATTGTCTGACGAAGGGGTTGGGTCTTGCACCAGTCTCTGCGGAGGTAGCGGCGCTCTGTGACTACCAAGGCCTCCCGACTTGAGGATAGAACCTCTGGTTTCTGCTGCAATAGCCGGTGGTGACGTTCTGAAGAGAGGTTCCCTTTGGTCTTGTGTGGGGATGGGATGGATCCCTGGGGCCGGGGCTTTTTGGTCTCTGCTGTGATGCAGAGCACCCCAGCCAGTATGACTGGGATAGTTATTCTCCACAGCATTCTGCAAAAAGAGAGACACACATTATACATTCATTACATTTCTACGCAGAAAGATGGTTTCTGAAGAATAAAAAAATATACACTGAAGCTGGTGTTAACACTAATTCAGGCAGTTGCTAATGATACATGCCAGTCATGCAATTGCCAACGTGGTATTGGTATTGCCAATAGTGTTTGCAATTGTGTGAATGTGTATTCACGTTGAACCACCTTCGCAGTGTAACCTTCCAGGCATCACTGAGGAAATGAATCCATCACCAGGGCCCCCATTTGTCAGCATCTCTGTGTCATTACTTCTATTTGCTTTCCTCTCGGCTACGCAACTCTTCCAAAAATAAACAAAGCCCTGCCATCAAAGGATACACTTAAACACCCATAATGAGAAGGGGAAGTTGATTTTATTGGTCCCGTCGCCGGGTAAAATAATTAGGGCTTTGCTTACTTTAGTCATGAACTATGCCGCAGATATGTAAACAGGCATTAGAGAGGCCCATCTGCATGTTATTAGGGGAAGAGTTGGGGAACTCTACAGTACCCTTTGGGAGTCCTCTCCTCTACTCTTTGGTGATATACTATTGAGCAAACTGAACTGAGAATGACCCATAGTGTCTTTAATAACCATAGTGTCTTCCTTATCATGCTAACAACAGAACGATACTATGATCTAGAGAAATTATTTCTCTCCTATTCAGGATGGAGTATCCGCCTGTGTGCATGCTGTCAGTATTTGCGCCAGCACATTTTTGACCATCACTCAAGCATCTTTTCAGCAGATGTTGCTTTTGACAAGCGTTGCATGACATCAAGTCAGAAATTCTGACAGAGAACCAAACTGCCTCAAGGCCATTGGCCGCTCCTATTCACAGACTCTTCTTTGCTGTGCAAATTTGTATGTTCCCTTTCTTCCTTTCCTGGACCGGCAACTCACTCTGACATGGAACAAATTACTTTATCATAATCCACTCTGTTTTTTGCCTCCTTTTTTCTGCCCTTGACCCTGAGGTCATGGCAGCTCTGTCCGAGCTGCACGAGCACTCAAGTCTGTATATCACTATCTCGGCAGCACATTCAGTAAGCTAGACAACAGCTGTTTGTCCATCAAGTAGACTTTTTCTATATATCAAGAGATATGTTGCAGTTACATAGATGCAGAACTTTTTAACACTTTCTTGTGGAAATCTGATCTCTTGAATTTGTTTTTGTGCTTTCGTTTTCTTCATTAAGAGATCAAACCTGTGGAAGAAAAAAGTATTTTGTGTACATTTAGCCAAGAAATCAGATTTAACTGGTCTAAAATTATAATCAAGTCTGTTTAATATTTGGTATTTTTCATCTGTGGATGTCCAGAAGACAAATACATTTTGAAATCAATTTTCAATGAGCGCATCATAGGAATTTTTTATTTATATTTATTTTTTTTTCTGTCAAACATAACTCCTAAAATTTCCTTAACAGGACAGGAACTTCTCAGATCTGTTCTTCTTCTGGAGGCACACATTTCTGCATACACACACACACACAAGCCAGCACACGCCTACACACACCCATCATAAGGTTAGAATAACTAAACCAAAGACTCCCGCTGGGCGCTTCCACCACCTACTGCATCAGGGAGTCGTGACCCCACTCTATCTTCCAGTGATCTACCTTCCATGTACAACACCATCTCATTTGTCTTTAGCTGCTCTGTCTCATTCCTGCTGACTGTGTATTTAAATGTATGAACCCCTGGTAAGAAGAACGGGCTCTGTTTCTGTGTGCAGTCCCTTGTTCTCTGTCTCCATGTTCTCCCGCTATTTGTCGCTCAAAGAGGCACCCTGTGACTCCGGTGAGCTACAGTCTGCAAAGCCCCGGGGACTTTTGAGGGATGACCTGACCGACTGTGTACATAGGGCATGACGGATGGCCTATACAGTCAGCAGCCTCACTCCCTCTCTACTCCAAAACTCTGCCTAAGTAGAATAGTGCCGGGCCTGCCAAGCTATCCTCATCAATCTCTGCTGCAGGACAAATTGCGGTTTTGGGGCAGGGATCAGGGGCTTTGGGGGGAACGCTGAGGTGGATGGGTGGGCAGTTAGTGGCTTGGGTTAAGAGATGGAAGGAGAGGGGCTGAAGAGATGGTGGAGTTTGGGACACATGACCTACTGGGAAACAAAACCAACACCACTCATGTGCAGTGTTTCCCCTTTTCCCACAACTGTATATCTCTACAAAAGCTGTCTCTTTACTTCTTTTTCTCCCAATCTGTCTCTCTCTGTCACCCTGTCTGTCTCTCCTTGACGCACAGTACTAATCATCACACAGTCCCGGAGACGGAAGGAGACTGTGGTTTTGTGTGTTAATGCTGAGACAGAACTGAACTGGACTTCTCTGTCTGCTGAACACTAATATTGTCCACAAACACAGCTTTATGTTTTACAAGAACCGCAAATACTTGGGGGATATGCTTCACTGAACTGTGGCAGACCTTAGTTCCAAAATTCAGACCTCTAATGAAATTACAAATACCAGAAACAAATACCAGAGAGACTGCTGAGCTAGACACAAGCCTTTTTAAAAACAACTATTATCATCAGTGGGAACTTGTTATGTTTTGTTTTTCAGAATGGCATTATAATGCCAGGGTAATGTTTTCTGTCTGGATAACAATGGGTCTTTTTTTCAAATTTCAAAGTGAAATGAAAAACATAATTAGCCATGAACATCCAGTCTGGCTCCTAGGTATCTTAATATTTCAGATACTCACAGACTTTCAAATTTGTACTCACAGTTGCACTTCTACTAAACCATGTGAAACATCTTCCCAGCATGTCTTCAAAGGCAGGTTAAAACAAACAAACCTGATGCCTCAATTATTGGTGCGTCAGAAAGTCTCACACACAGACTGGTAAGTGCAGTTAATTACAGTAGAACTGCATTTAATTCACCGTGCAGCTCAAACCTCAATCACACAAGGGTAGCTGCATACACACACACACTTGCACACACACATACGTGACCACACATACACACAAACAGACTCAAACACACATACACAGGATATAAAGAGAGAGGGAAAGAGAGGTAAATGAAATGTTTTCACTTGGAGCCAATTACACAAAGAGGAACCATGTCATTATCTGCATTTGTGGATTCTATTTTCCCAAACTACGCTGGGCTGTTGGCTCATTAACAGTTGTCGGGGGGGGTCCTTTTGGGGGCTTTTCTGTGTGTAAATGTGTCTAATGCCAACATTGCCAGGAGGCTGCTTTAGGCAGTTTGGGCAGCCATTTGTCACCACAATCCATCTTGATAATGACTAGCAGCCCATATATAATGTTTTCCAAGCTAAGTACTGGCAAGAATGTAAGTCAACTCCTTCGCCTTTGCTACATTAAGTGCTTTAGTGGAGGATGAGGGGCAATTAGAGATGCTGTGATAGTACAGCATTTCTCTTTTTAGATCACGATGGCACTACTTAGCTGCAGTAATTAACATCACCTTCCATTTGCACTTGCACAGTGGAATTTGTTTGTTTAATGTCTTAACATACAGTTTTCCCCTTAAGTAGCTTTAAAGCTGCTTATTTCATACTCTCTGAATGTGTAATATTTATATTCTGTATCAGCTTGTTCCAGATCTTTATTGAAGCCCAAGCCCAGGACTTTGTGTTTTATAAGGCTTTACCATTCCACTAAATCGCATAATTTTAGGTATATTTGGTTTTTTTGGAAACTAAAGCTTGCCACCAAAATTTTAAATAAAGTTCTGTGGGTTTGAACAATGTTTGGCTGCACAGCATGAGCTTGCAATGACTGGCGCACAGGCAGGCCACTGCGTGTTCAGGGGGTTTAAAAGTAGTTCTTTTCAGCCATATTTTGCTAACAAGCAAGGCAAAGGTTCTCTTGTTTTCAGAAAATGCTTCATTTTAACAGAACAATTTGCCACAATTGGCCAAGACATAGCATTACTCCACCATTTTAATCTGCTTTCCTCAGTGTTTACTTAATACCTGTTCATGTGTAAACTTCACATGTTAAGAATGCTGTTAAGGCTTCTTTCAAACACCAGTTATACTATCTTTAGAGGCTTACAATGAAGTGTTTTCTGTTGCTAAAGAAACTGTAATGTGTCTGTGTACTAAATCCTCTTTGACATCAGAGCGGACTGTACAAGGTGGTGCAGTCACCAGAGCTGTAAGAAGGATCAGAAGGCAAACTCCCTACCATTCACTGCACGCATACTGTAGGAACACACACACACACACAGACACACACACACACACACACACACACACACATATGTTCACACACCGACTTGGATACACGTCAGTATACACATGACTACACACAAACACATTTACGATATGAAAGTGAACACACACACAAGGATATACATACGTATATGAACAGAGAGAAAAATAATGATTTTGTGCGCACAGAATACAGATTCACTGTGTACATTAATACCAGTATCTCTTTCTGTCTTTTTTATATTCAGTGGAAAAAGTAAACTGACTCTTAATCTCACTGTCATCACTCACTAATTCTCTCACTCACAACACTAATTCCCTTGAACCTTCAGCCACTAATTATAGTAATTTAGTCAACACTTTTATCCAGAACACCTTACAGTAGCTTGAAGGTGTATATTTTTACTATGGGTGGCCCCAGTGGGAATCAAACCCTCACTGCTGGCAGAAATGCTAAATAGCTGTACAACTACTGGTGGTTGAATTACATGGTTCTGCTCTTAGTCATTCAAAGACTCACTGAGTCACTCCATCTCACTATCTCAGCCTCTTACTGCCCACTTCTTCAAAGCACTCACGTGGGATATGTCGAGCCAGCCCTCTTATCTACACTTTTCTCAGCAAATCAAATTGGTACATGCTACTTCCACATATATAATCACTGCTTTCTCACATGTGTTGCAAAGAATGTCTATATTCAAAGCATTTATCATTGTATTCTGAAATCCTGAAAAATGAAAATGTAGCCAATGCAGTTGAGTAAGTTATATGTCCACGTGTAAACATTCTTAAATGAAATTGCATTGATTTTCAGTTAGTGCATATTATTTGTTATCGTAGTTAGCATCTTATAAAACATCCTTAGAAAGTTCTTGAAATTGTTAAAATGATAAAAGGTCTCCTTGTCTCTTAAATAAAGTGTTAAATAGGTGTTATCGCAGTAAAGTAAAAGGTTTATGTTTATGTACCTCTCACCACAGTGTGCAGCCGGACAGTAACGTGTCGAGGATGCAGTCAAGGGAAGTTGTCCACCTTCAGTGGTCCTTGCGTCCGCTTCCAGGTTTTGGTTTCCATGGCAACATAATCTGTAGTATCCTCAGGCTTGTCCTTGCTCCTCTTTTTTCCCCACCACTAAAGAGTCAAGGTCTTGGATACGGTCAGTTTTCCATCTTCCTGGACAAGCTGTATCTCTTTCTTAGTTCCTCTCTATGTCTAACTTTCTCTTTTTAGTCTTTTTTTGTTTTTAGGTTTAAGAGAGAAGCTCCAGGTTTCAGTCACAGTAAGCCCATATCTTAGTGCTGCAGAGACTGTCTGTAGCCTGTCTTTGAGAGTGTTTGACTCACTGTAAAGCCTGCCTTAGTTTGAATCCCCACCACCCCCTTCCCTCCTCAAGACTGGGAGGGTTTATCCTATTGGCTCTGGTCATTGTGTGAATCAAACCAAGCTTCACTTCTTTCATTTTTAAGTCTCCCTGTGTCTGTCTCTCTCTTCCTGATGATATTTTTCTTTGATACCTTTTTTGTAATGCCCACTCATCCATGATATATCAAACCAATGGAAATGACAGTGTTTCCTTTGTCTTCTTTTTTCCATTGTAGTTTTCTCTCTCTCTTCCCCTGTGTTTGATATTTGCATTTTCATTTTAAGGAAGTGGATGACATTTTGCCACCATGGACAATAAAGGACAAAAATTGTGAAGGAACAATGATCTCCTATAAAACCCCTAAATTACCCTCTCTCATTGGCACTGTGACCACATCACATTACAACCCATAATCCCCCATCCATAAATCATTGTACGTATTGTACGCAGACACACGGACGCTTTGAAAACAATTCACATTCCTTGATGCAACTGAGACAATAATGTTTGTCTGTTTTGTGGCTCTTGCTAAGCTGACCACTGGGTACAGAGACTGAAAACAGTGACTGTCACTTCTGCCATCAAACATCTGAAACATCAACAGACCCTTCAAAACCTCAGACGGGTATAGTCTGAACAATAACCCCTTCAGCAGACCAGAAGATGATGACACTTTTGCATGACAAAACATCATTTGTCTGCAGAGTATTGTGGTGCATTTTGCTGATTTGTGCTGAGGAGGAGCTGTTTGTTAAAACGAGGCAGATCCCTGCAGTGGGAAATAATTTAACACCATCTAGTGGTAGAAATCAAAAGTGCATTGTTCAAGCACTGTTCCTGGATTCTTTTAACCCATGCAGAATGAATGTTACAATGCTGTGTTGCTGGCACTTTGTGTGTTCAAACAGTAAAACAACATCCAACCCCAGGCCATAGTAACAGATAGAGGGCCAACTTTAATAATACAAGTAAGTAAAAGTGTCTTTAAATATGGTATAAAAATAAATGCAGGAGAGAATAACAAAGAATTATGTTCTACATAAGACAGGAGACAGCTTTTTTGTAATTTTGAATGTGACTTTACAAGTGCAATGAAAACCATATGTGCTAATTATTGTAGTGAAATTAAATAATGCAAAGCAAAATAAATGCACAACAAATAATCATAATAATAATCATAATATATATGTATATATATATATATTGTATATTCATTCTGCACAACACTTCCCATAGCGTGACAAAGTATCTGTGACCTCAGATCATGTAATGCGATGACACTGGTTAGATGTATCAGTTTAAGTTGTCATTTTATATATTTTTTCTATGTGTTTTTTTCTTTTTTTTTTTCTCTCTGACATCATTTGTTTCAGCTGGAAGTGAGAGAGGGAGCTCTGATCCAGCAGTTACGATGGAAAGAACCGGATTTTACATTTTTCATCTCGCCAGTCTGTCAGTGTCCATACAAGTCCAGCAGTGCCTCCTTTCTGAGAATACTGGAAATATATCAGGTACTGTAAGAGGAGAGAGAAGAAGGAGCATCCTCTCCATGGACATGCAACATCCGGTGGACAACAGACGAACAGACAGGCCGGCTCGTTGCCCAGCTGAGCCAAGAGCGAATGGGCAGACAATGATGACAAAGAGATGAGATGGTCCCCCTCTCCATGTCCAAGAGAGAGAGATGGCATTGATTTTAGCATGATGGCACATGACTGGTCAGCCTCTTGTATGCTAGTGGTTTCCACTGCGCAGGGAGAAAAGAAAGGAAGACAGAATAGATGGAAAAGATAATGAGATAAATATATAAGAAGAAATGAGAGAGAATAAATACAGCTATTTTCTGGTTTAATAACAATATGAGCAGTCATGGTCACAGTGCTGGAATTACACATTTTGTATCGCATGCACTGTGGAAATTCAAGATTTGAGCTCAATGTACATGTATAGTATGTATATTTTAAACCCGTATTACAAGACACAGGAATTGGCAGTATCACTGACAATATAACAACCAAATGACAATGTACAGTACACAATTTTGTATTGGACATTACCTGGAAGCAAGAGCCTTCAGAACAAGTTCTTACTTTTCTGTGGGAACAAAAAAAGGACACGTTAAGCGAAGTAATTTTAGGAGGATTCAGGGGACCGTATATAAATTATAATATGAAGAGAATAACAGTTTGCAAGTTGGATAGATGAGAGCTGCTCTGAGACTTGTCTGCCATCATTATTACTTCAATTATGTATGGCAATGTACTGCATTCACATTTAAAAAAATATATAGCTCTAATACTAAAATCTTCTTTTCCAGAGTGACTGGCAGAAAAAGTGTGGGCGGTGTGAGACACAACAGGTTTTAAGCACACAAATACACGTGTATAATTCTGAATTATTCATCATGTTATGACAGCCTCTGTGTCTCTGCTATTCATAATGGTTTCTACAAGCCTAACAGGAGTCCTGGTCAGCTACTCCATCATCCACACCTGAAACAGACTCCATTAATACATTGTATTCGCTCGCTCTGCCCCTCACTGGTAGGGCTCGCAGGGGGGTGCCATTTTCTTGTATATGTTCTTTGGTTTTAGCTGGTTTGTACCTTTGAGCAGCTCTGCCACATACACCGCTGTATTCAGGAATTTTATTTATCCATTTCAGATACAGTGTATTTTTTGTATAAGGCGTATAATTAGATATATACATATACTGGAATTACACGATATTATCCATGTAATTTCAAGGAGTTGCTTGGAGTGTCAAATACATTGGGAAAAAAACATCTAACTCTGCAGCTCAAGACACACTAGCTTTTGTTTAGGAGTTAGTGGAGACCAAACAGACCAAACCACATCTAAAGGGAACAGAAACACTACTCCATTGGTATGCCCTTGTTTTTACTATGATTTTCTACCCCTTAGTGGTAAAAAAAAATCTGTACAGTAGTTAGAGAGCAGACTTATCAAATCTGCCCCTGTAGCAGAATATACTACAGGTGAGGGCAACAGCAACTAAACTTTCACACTTGTTTTGTAATGTGAACGGATTACCGGGAATGGGCTTAAAGTGTGATCTAACAGACTTTGAAAAGGCTTGACTGTGAGTGCCGGGAGGGCAGGTTTCAGCATCACCAGGCCTTAAGAGTAAAAGTGTGTGTACAAACAGCAAAAAAGGTTGTAAGCATGTACTGTCATCCACATGTTCTCTGCAACTCATCTGATTTTCACACTAAGTTGTTTATTCAATCTTTTGGGTCAGGTTATGTTTTTTACCTTCTTCTTGGCCTGTAATAACTCCTGGTAGGCACTGGAACGGATGAAACGGCTGTATGAATCACTCTTCATCAACTTGTAGATGTGTTCCTGTTGTAGAAACACATGGTGTTAAAAATAATGTATAAAAGCATCAGGTAACACATATAAAATGCAATATTCCATTGACGACCAAAACACAGCTGTGATCCATGGATTGCCAGGAGTGAAGGGGTTGTTGTTGTATCATTATCACTGTTGAGTTTCAGATCACAAGCTGAACTTTTCTATGCTAATATACAATGCAAAACTGTACATAAACCACTACAGAAATGAGCTATGGTTGTGATTTAATGTATTTCTATAATTTGCACCTGTGCGTCCTCAAAGGCATAGCGTCCAGGATCTTTGACATTCTGGGTGGTTTTGTCGTAGCTCTTGGAGTCTACGTTGATGGCACTGGGTGCCCCAGGTGCCAGAAACTCCTGCCAGATCTCCTGAACCCGAGTTGGAACTTCTCTGATGGGACGCTTCTTTAGTTCCTGAACCGCTAACCAGAACCTATAAACCAAATTTAACAGTAAGATAGATGCCTGTTAATAATATAGCTAAAAATGCAAACAACAGTTTCTATACATTTTTATATCTCCATTTTATATCATCTTTGTTGTTCACAGCCAAACAACAAATGAAGGCTCAAAACATGCTCTCATCTTATTAACTCTTTGCACGCCTTTGCAGCACTGCCAAATGAAATACATTTTTAATAAATTATTTTATATTTTTTACATCAAAAGTAATTCATCATCACAGAAGACAAAAACTACATAGTAAGAAATGTGAGCAGTAACTAAAACAGGAAGAGGAATGTTTGCCTTACTTAGGAACACCTCAGCAGAGACACATTTTAAATAGTGGACAGCAACAGCACTATGCTACATGTTTAACTTTAAAAAGTAAAGGTTAATAGGGTTAATGTACCTAGAAGACTAGAAGCGTGCTCTTTGTCAGTGATACATTAGTTCAATTACAGGAGAGTTACAACAATACTCAACTGCATGTAAACAAACTGACCCCATTATTATCTTTGGACAGAAACAATACAGACGTGTACCATCAGAGGTAGCACAGGAGCTATCCTGCACGGCGGTTACTTCATTCATATTTAGCTGTTAGCATGCACCTGTGATACTCTGCAGTATTCCTGTTAGCTTGAATAAACATAACATAACGGAATATTCCTGGCCTTCTGTGTCATTCTAGCAACAGCTATGGATATAGTGCATATTTTAATAAAAGCTGCATCCACCACTCATCCTGCTTTGATTAAACAATATTACTATAGGTTACTTATACATGGAAAGAAACAATGACCCCACAATTATGTGAGCACTTGTACAATTAAAACCAAAGTTTCAAGTGAAATATTATTAATATATTATTGATTAGGCCTCTCATCTTTACAGAAAAGCTGGTCCCATGAAAGATAACCATTTATTTTAGGCTTAAGACTTAAGGTTTGTGGTTGAGGTTGAGGGTTGGGATTAGACATGTAGCAGTTACAGTTAAAGGCAACGCATTTTTGAAGAACTTCACCTGAGTATTTTTATTTTATGCTACCATAAATGTACTTTTCACCACATTTATTTGACAGCTGCTGCTGGATGCTTTGCAGATAATGATATTACATATCAAACAAAGGATCATCTTATAAGATAAGATGGACTGTTATAGAATAAACTACTTATTACATATTCATAAAGTAGTTCAAATAAGCTCTGTTTCAACCAACTACAACATTACATCTAAATGGACTAATGATAATAATCAAAGGATTCTAAATATATTATTATAACACTCTGAGAGGGCCCGGGCTGTATTGTGTGTCCTTTTTCATTCTTTTTTTTAAAATACATTTAGCTGATATTACTTCTGTACTTTTATTTCCATATATTTTGAATGCTTTCTTACATTTTTTTAATACTTTAAAGAAATGGATCTGAGTACTTCTACCACTGTTGACTTCAGATACACTGATTGATCTACTATGACAGCTATATTTAAGTTATAGTTTCATGATCATGTACAAGGCAGTAAAAAACGAAACAATGCATGTTAATATTATATATGTGGTAAAACAAATCTAGATTGAGGCTTTAAGGTTAGGTCAAGAAGTTTTACTAACTACCAAAAACAAGTATTTTGTGAGTGTAGAAAGTGCATTTTATTGTGTACCTGAGATTTTCTGAACTGAACTCAGACTCCAGGAACTTCAGGAACTGTTCTCTCCCAATCGGATCTTTGAGAACCTCATCAATGCCAAAAGCCCACCGCTTTACCCTCTGCTGGCCGGGCTCCTTACTGCAGGAGGACATGCAACAATGCATTACAGTTTCTTTCACAGATGATGTGTGCAACAAAACACTCTACAGTTTAAACCGTAAAAATATAAATATAAATATTGCTCTTCTCATTTGCACACCTGGCTTCGAGCTCCCAGAGCGTGGTGTCATCTGAGATCCAGGGGTTGGATGGATCTGGAGGCGTTAGGAAGGGGTCATATTCAACGTACTGCTCTGTGTAGCCCAGC